CAAATACGAGACTGGACGTGATAAATCATAAGCACGTGATCCTCTCGAAATTAGTTTATGAATAAACTTCACTTTGTAAATGAAAACCATGTTCTCTGGTTTGACACTATATGTTAATTTTAAATCTGCAATTCTACAGAAAACTTCAATTAGTTGTAGGACCCCATTGAATTATTTGAAGATGTCATTCCTGTCAAAAAAATGAGATTCAATAAAATAAATTTAAGTTGCCTCTGCCTCCATGAAATGACTGATTCATGGTGGTTTCTTTGAGGTAATATAAAGCAAATCAAAAAGCAGCATGTTGAATTTTAACGGATGGACACGTGCTTATGCACACAAGAACAGATACACTGGGGGCATTATTTGTTCACCATGTGCCTTCAACTTCAAAGACGTCCCAAAGCATGTCACTTCTCCAATCCATCATCCTTCTAAATGCCATGCATGTAAAAATTACTCCCACAGGCCAGCTTTCCCATCAAACTCAGACTCAGATCTCAGCTCACGCCGTTCTTCAAAAAGACACAGTTGAATCCGTGAAAATCATGATGTGGTTAAACAAATGGTGACTGAAAGTGCAGCAGGCAGACTTAGGAAAGAGAAGCAGTACCCCGAGGAGTGACTTCTTCCCACTTGATCCGCCTCCTATTCCCTGAGCTCCATATCTCCCTTTTTCCCTGTCTTCATGCATATGGAAGACATGGCATGCTTTAACTAGAAAAGGAATTGAAAATCACAACCAGATGCTGGTGTGAGCGACATGCCACGTTATATGCTAGTTTTTTTTTTGTTTTTTTTTGCCTGAGCGATCAATATTTGTACAACTTTTAATATCAGCTAATAAGAATTTTACATGGTTGCAGGTTGGTACAGACACGTTCACAGAAGACAGCATGTAATATTATTGCTAAGCGCAAGTAACATAGCACAATTAAATGATACAATTCTACTCTATTAGCAACAAGGCAAAAATATGTTAACTAAAAAAAGCTATCGGTTATGCCTTATTAACCATGGAAGACTTTTTATAGTGTTTTAATCTGCCCAAATGCAAAACAGTCATTAACCCCAATTTATTCTACCACCCAGTTAAGGTATTTGAGTATTGCTCCTGTCTTAATGCACTAGACATACCATAACTACTATTTTCATTTATAGCACATAATTTTTGCATTGATATGTAATAGCTCTTGTTTAAATACACTATGAACAGCAGCTACGCTAATTATTTTCTTTTTTCGATATTTCCACCTGGGGATACTCATCCCGAGGCCTCTAAAGATATTGCAGCACCATTGATGTGATCTAAGACCTGTGAAGAGATCATGCCAACCACAGAGCACTTGCAGAGGTATCCATAATCCTGGATCCGTCTGTATTCGGAGTGTATGCTGTGGTGGTCATGGAGGAGTGGAGAATATGAGACTGATTTCTGAAAGACCCCAGTGACAGACAAGTTTCCGCATTGATCTTGTGGGCAACCTGAAAAACCCTGGTGACCTATTCACACCTGCAGTTCTGTGTTGAACATCCAGCGTTCTTCAGCCTCTGACGCCATGACTGCAGCTCTGCACAAGAAACTTGGCGAGAAGAACAATGGTCGTGCCCAATTGAGCCTGGTTTCTCTGTAGGTTTTTTGATGAAGTTTTGTTCCTTACCATTGTCTTGCTTCATTTGAGACTTGTAGAGCTGCACATCGATGAATTTGCTCTTCAGTGTTTGGACTTTCAGCAATGAAATTTAAACTGTCATGGGCCAGGTTTGATTTAATTAATTATCTTACTTTTTTAAGCTTTTCTCCCCTCTCAGCTGTAGATCCTTTCTATTTGCAATCATTGCTGTGGCACCTGCCTTCACTCGTAGCTGATTAGTGACTCTATAACAACTTCTGTGTTCCCTGTCTCAGTGCCAGATTATTACTCTCTGTGTTGAATGATCACATTATAGTTGCCACCATGCTTCTATCACTAATACAGTTTTTTGTAGTTTGTCTAGTCTAGTTGAGTCCTGTCTTATGTGCATGTTATTTGTTCCCGGAGTTCACCTGTATTCTGCTCTGCCCGACGACTACCAGCTCTCAAATGTCAACCATGGATCTCCTCCCCAGCCGAGTTGTCATCTCACGCCAGCTCACCTGATCTGTCACCTTCTCTGCGAGCATCCACCTCTCTCTCCAAGCCTTCGTAAACCTCTTCAGTGCTGCGCACCGGCCGATGTTCAGCGTGTGGCAGCCTACCTTTAAGGACTTTAATTTCAATAAAAAGTCTTTATTTTACGCACACCCCAGGTGTGTTGTTTGTTCTGTTACATAAACCAGACTGAACTTCATCTCTGAAAACTGGACTGACACAGTTTCAATAAGAAGTTCTATGTTAAGCTGCATTGACACAATCCATGTTGTGAAAGCGCTATATAAATAAAGATGAATTGAATTGAATACCCCAAGCAATATTTGTAAGGGGTCTTATGTTACGAATTTATAAAAAATCTCAAATGATCTCGAACCACCTCAATCTGTTCTCTCAGAGCAGTTTCACTGTCAAAAAAACAATTGGACATATACAATAGGTAAAAAAAGTAACAAAATAAATAATTAAAACAACTAAAAATAATAGCCTACAACTGTAAAGAATTGAGTTAAATAAAATAAAAATAAAAACAAACTTCACAGCATGAATTAAATATACAATTATTATTAAATCACTTAAAGTTACTTATGGGTGTCACGATCGCCTCACAGCAAGAAGGTCGCTGGTTCGAGCCCAGGCTGGGTCAGTTGCCATTTCTGTATGGAGTTTGCATTTTCTCCCTGTCTCCTCGTAGGTTTCCTCCGGTTGCTCCAGTTTCCCCCACAATCCAAAACATGCGGTAAGGTGAATTGAACAAGCTAAATTGGCCGTTGTGTATGTGTGAATGCAAAAGTGTATGGGTCTTTTCCAGTGTTGGGTTGTGGCTGGAAGGGCATTCGCTGTGTAAAACATATGCTGGATAAGTTGACGGTTCATCCCACCGTGGCGATCCCTGATTAATAAAGGGACTAAGCCGAAAAGAGAATGAATGAATGACTAAGTTACTTATTTGGTGACTAATGAATGATTTTATATACTGTATATTTATTAATTTTCCATTGGCTTTGTCCCTTGTTTATCAGGGGTCACCATAGTGAAATGAACTGCCAACTATTCCGACATATGTTTGGCTCAGCAAATGCTTTTCCCGCCAGGAACACTTAAACAACATTCCAAGTGTTCTCTTTATTTTTTGAGCAGTTTATATAGAGTGGAAGTCAGAATTATTAGCTCCCCCCACCCCCTTTTATTTTTATTTGATTTTTAAATATTTCCCCAATGATGTTTAACAGAGCAAGAAAATTTTTACAGTATGTCTGATAATATTTTGTTTCTTCAGGAAAAAGTCTTATTTGTTTTCTTTTGGCAACAATTAAAGCAGTTTTTAATTTTTTAAACACCATTTTAAGGTAAAATTTATTAGCCGCTTTTAAGCAATTTTTTTTCCAAGACCGTTAAACGATATCTTGCCTAATTACCCTAACCTGATTAGTTAACCTAATTAACCTAGTTAAGCCTTTAAATGTCAATTTTAGCTGTGTAGAAATGTCTTGAAAAATATCTAGTAAAATATTTTCATTGTCATCATGGCAAAGACAAAATAAATCAGATATTAGAAATCAGTTATTAAAATAATTATGTTTAGAAATGTGTGGAAGAAATCTTCCTCTATTAAACAGAAATTGGGGAAAAATAAGCAGGGGGGCGAATAATTCTAGGGGGCTAATAATTTTGACTTAAACTGTATGTCTACATGACATTCCCATATTTGTTAAGGCAATACTGCATGTAGAAATGTTTAATATCTCATGGAGCATATGTTATGAAAATGCTTGTTTTTACACAGCGTTAAAACAATTACATAATATTTGGGAAAGCCTTGAGCAAATTCATACACAGAAAGAAAATGTACAAAAGTTGTCCCTGTGGTAATACCTTTACAAAAAGAATCAATTTAAATAATTAACTTTAAAGACAAAAACAAACAAACAAACAAAAGGTTTAATGTACCATTGTGGAATATATATATTTCATTCATTAATTTTCTTGTCGGCTTAGTCCCTTTATTAATCCGGGGTCACCACAGCGGAATGAATCGCCAACTTATCCAGCAAGTTTCTACGCAGCAGCTGCCCTTCCAGCCGCAACCCATCTCTGGGAAACATCCACACACACATTAACACACACACTCATACACTACGGACAATTTAGCCTACCCAATTCACCTGTTCCGCATGTCTTTGGACAGTGGGGGAAACCTGAGCACCCAGACAAAACCCACGCGAAGGCAGGGAGAACATGCAGACTCCAAATAGAAACGCCAACTGAACCAAGATTCGAACCAGCAACCCAGCGATCTTCTTGCTGTGAGGCGACAGCACTACCTACTGCGCCACTGCCTCGCCCCTATATATATATATCTCCAGGAAAAAAAAAAAAAAAAAAAAAAAAAAAAAAAAAAAAATATATATATATATATATATATATATATATATATATATATATATATATATATATATATATATATATATATATATATATATATATATATATATTATAGGACATACTGTGAAAACTTCCTTGCTCTGTTAAACGTCATTTGGGAAAAAAAGAAAAGAAAAAACAAAAAAAACAAAGTAGGCTAATAATTGTGACTTCATATATATATATATATATATATATTCAAAATAATGTTCAGAATTTTGACATCACTACAAAATTGTCTGATTCTCAATATAGTGCACCATGTAGATAAGGATTGTTTTCACACACAGCTAAAAACAGAAACATATTGCCATGCACTGGCAAATCAATGGTACATACAGAAGGAAATGCTTGTTTTTTCCAATAGAGCAGACAAAACTACCACATTTAGCAACACTGTGTCATATACATTGAGAGGTTTGCAAAATAATTTTCAGACAAATATTATTGCAATATAAATGTATTTAGCTCAACAACATAAAAACATTTGTTATTTCTGTGTGAAAATGTACATATATTTCTATCTTGACCTAACAGCCCTAACTTACATTGACGGCAGTAATAAAAAATGCATTCACAACATACATGATTTTTCAGTTTTTAACCCATTACATGTCATATTGCATTGACAGTACCTCATGTCACTGTCAGGATATGACAGTATCAGCATATCACTAGGGTGCAAAATGTAGGCTAATTTTGCAAATGCAAGCTTTTACATTCATACTATTCTAGTGCACAAGACAGCTGGTGCACATGTATTCCACACCATTCTGACAATGATAAAAAAAAATAAGTCTCTCTCTGTGTGTGCGTGTGTACTTGTTTATGTGGCTTATTAAGACAAAATTGTATAATGACATGGATATGACCTAGTTGTACTATATTGAAGTGGTTTATGAGGACATGTCTTGTGTCCTCATAATTACAAATGCTTAAACAGGGTCTTTTGACATTTGGGAAGAAATAAGGCAGGCCACATAAGCCACAGTTTTTATAGTATAAAATACATGGATGTATTTTTGTGTATATTATATTATATTATATTATATTATATTATATTATATTATATTATATTATATTATATAAGTATTTTAAAAATAAATAAATACATATTGTGAGGAAAAAGTTTTCTTTTGTTTAAACCATTTATGCCTTTGAACCAATTGTTACCTGTCGCTCAAGAATCTAAAACCTGCTTTTCCACAACCTACACACCCATATGAGTCTCTGCTAAGCTTTATAATCAATTCTCAGTTAAGATAGTTTACAAGTTCAGACACTTAACTAAAAGTAGATTCAGTGTCTGGTTCCTCACTGTGCCTGATTACGTGAGGGGCTCTCAACCATCAGCACAGCACAGTTTGCACAGCGACACATTAACACCACTGGCCAACCATAAACATGTCCAATATTGTGAGCTTTGTGATCACATCAGTTCCTTCAGCTGCAGATTCTAATGCTTTCGTTCAATCCACCACAACTTCAGTCCTTATATCAGGATATAGAACACCTACAGTTGTCCTCTTCTCTGAATCTGGCTAGGAATGATGATCTATGATGATGATTTTTCATTCATCTACAAAATGTTGTCTTGTCACTCACTCATCTTGTGTGTCCTGCTGTGAAGAAAATATGAAATACAGTTAAGAAAACAGAAATCTCTAAATCTGTGTATACCACACTTAAAACAGCTAAAACACTCATATATTGAACTCAATGTAACTCTGTTTTGAACAATGTTTTAAGTTCATACACTAATCACTAAACAGAACAATTCCGTTAAAAACCTAAAAGCATAAACAGATAGTGGCATGAAAAATAAACTATTTATATTTTTACCTAAATAATTACTGGAAACCCATTTAAAAATTAAATATATTTTTGGTTAATTACTGTTGATTCTAGTCAATTAAATAATTTAAAGCACAATGTATTGTAAAAAATATAATAATACATTTCCTGACATGCATACCTAATAATAATAATAATAATAATAATAAAATATAATAATAATAATAATAATAATAATGATAGGAGCTCATATTTAGAGATAGTGATGTAACAATTTACCATGAGCTGGTAAACGTATTTCGATACTGTAACCCTCTACTGTACATATTTTAATGGTACATGACAAATATTATTCCAAATGATTGTTTGGTTCTTTTGGGAACTTTTTATTGTTAAAAGTTGTTTTTGGTTTGACCCCCCACCCCAACCCCGAAATTTTTTTTTGTTGCTTTAAGGCAATGTTATGCAACAACGGTACAAAATCACAAAGAAAACTCTTTACATATTATATGTCAAATATCATGAGCCAGTGATCAGAGAGCAATAATAATTAAAAATCCTATTCAAACTGTAACAGAATTATTAAAGAAATAGGGAAGAACTCATAAAACATTTACAGTGCTCAGCATAACTGAGTACACCCCATTTTGAAAATGAATATTTTTATCCATTTATCTGTAATTAAAGGTAATGTATTTGAGCATTTGAACAAAACAGATTTATTAAACTGATATATTTATTAAAATAATATTTTATTCACCAAACATCTTTAGAAACATACATTTAAATTTATGCAAAATTTTGGGAAAAAATTACAAACTACAAAATTTAAAAAAAAAAAAATAAATAAATAAAAAAAAAAAAAAAAAAATATATATATATATATATATATATATATATATATATATATATATAATTTATTATCATAATTAAATTATTATTATAATTAAAAATTATATATAAATTAATATATTTAAAATTATATCTAAAATTATATTTTGTTTCTGTTAAATTTTGCTCTTTAACATTTTTGTTTAATATTTTTCTCTAACATTTCAATTTAGGTGTACTAATTTTGGATCATTATCATAAATGATTTTGTTAGATTAGCCTTTGTTAGTGGCGCAGTAGGTAGTGCTGTTGCCTCACAGCAAGAAGGTCGGTAGTTTGAGCCTCGGCTCAGTTGACGTTTCTGTGTGGAGTTTGCATGTTCTCCCTGCGTTCGCGTGGGTTTCCTCTGGGTGCTCCGGTTTCCCCCACAGTCCAAAGACATGCGGTGCAGTTGAACTGGATAGGCTAAATTGTCTATAGTGTTTGAGTGAGTGTTTGTGGATGTTTCCCAGAGATGGGTTGTGGCTGGAAGGGCATCCACTGCGTAAAAACATGCTGGATAAGTTGGCAGTTCATTCTGCTGTGGCGACCCCAGATTAATAAAGGAACTATATATATATATATATATATATATATATATATATATTATTTTATAATTTTTTAAAGATAATTTTATTATGTGTTTGAGAGATGATTTAAAAAAAATATTACTGTAAAATGGCTGTGTTTTGCATTAGTTTACAAGAAGGAATGCAACTTGCCATTATGTGGATTTTATTCACTTTTATCAGAACATATAATAGATAGGATAGAAAAAAATTGCCTGCATGAAACATTTGTAGCTTAAACACATTAAAGACATGCTGATTTCCAAACTCTAATAAAATGATTATTGAGTTAATTTTTATTATTTTATTTTTCAATTTTGCTGTCAGTCAGCCCAGTCATATATGAGCTGTCTGTGAACTAATATCATTATCAGACAAACGGCATTATGATGTCATCATGATGTCTATTACACTAGAATACACACCTACAGTAATCAACATTTGAAGTGGATCATCATCTTTCATCAAAGTTCTTTTAAAACTATTGAACAACACCTATTTTTGTCCTAGGACAACATTTTTAAATCACTTCGAATGTTGACTACTGTACATCCAGGTTCATGCAACACAATCATGAAAATGCCATTAGAATCTGGTCAATGTTGTACCTTGCCTCAGGGGGTCTGAAAGAGACACTCGAGTTGCAGATATCCAAAGAAAGTAGAATGGATCCAAAGAAGAGTGGAGAGGAGAGATTGAAAGTGAAATGGAGGGTTGGATTAGGAATTCTGAGCGTCTATACCTGCGGGGGTGAGTACCAGCGCCTGCAGAATGTCAGAAAGGGAGATGATGCCCTCAATGCTGGAATTATCATCCACGACTACCAGTCTGTGCACCTGCATAGTTTACACAAACACATTCAGAGGTCATTTAACCTGAACACAGCTAATGTTGATGTGGGAGAGCAACAGTCAATGATGTCCATGTTTACAAAGAACACAACAAAAGAAAAGCAGTGCAATGGAATATGAAAATGCATTCTTTAACTTAGTCTATAGTCCAAATAACTAAACTGAAAACTATTTCATAACAATATCTGAGCTTGGTGTTGAGTTTTGTTTTCTTCTAAAATGTCTGTTTTTGAAACTCTAATAACATGTTTTTTTAGTGTATAAATCCACAATTATTTAAGATTACTTCACTGTGATGTCTCTGTGTGATATGTGATTGTCATATAAAAAAACAAACACAAAAAAATGACAATAAACGTATTTCGCATTAAATTAACAAAGTACTTTGGTTGTTCTTAATTTTTTTATATATAATGCAAAATAATCTCATAGGTGTCTGGTCCATTATGAATAGTAAGAATTGTTTATCCTGACTGTAGTTCTTTCTTTCTAACATTGTTGCAGCCTATTCACACATTATAATGTGTGTATTTATATAGCGCATTTATCATGTATGACCATACACCCAAAGCGCTTTACAATCATGAAGGAGGTGGTCTCTCCATACCACCACCAGTGAGCAGCATCCACTTAGATGATGTGACAGCAGCTACTAGACAATGGCGCAAGTACACTTACCACACACTAGCTAGACCATGTGGTCATGACATTTGCCCATGAACATGTCCTGCTAGTTCTCAAACTATTTCTTAACTGTAACAAGAGGCAATTCAATCTAATTGTAAATCAAAAATTCAATCAAAAATTGTAATTAAAATTTAAAACAGGATATACGTTGGGACCATTGGTTTAGTTTACATCCATGAAAATAGAAGTGGAGAGAGAGAGCATGATGATAATTGAGAGGCCTTGATGGTTAAGGGCCGTTGGAGGGAAATTGTCTAGGACACCGGGGTTACACCCCTACACTTTATGAGAAGTGGCTACCTATGACCTTCATTTCCTTCAGCAATTTTCCTACAGCTTAGTCTTCATTTCAGAGTTCACAACAGCAGACAAAACTGCCAACTATTCCAGCATATGTTTTAAGCAGGTGATGCCCTTCCAGCCACAACCCAATACTGATAAAGCATATATGACCCTTTGTTAACATTTTTTTATGCTACTATTGGTGATGTGTGTATTGAGTAAATCTTACCTCAGCTTTGACGATCCTGTCCACAATAGTCTCTAATGTCTCATGCCGGTAACACTTCATAACTCCTTCAAAGTATTGCGAGCGATGCAGCAGAGCTTGAGTCACTGTGATGTCCAGGTTATTGTATGTCTTCTCAGCAGCCAGGTTCTATACACACCCACAACACTAATGAACATAGAGCAGTGCTATAGCAACATACGCTTACAACCAAAAACAATACATCTCTCATAATGATTTATAAATAATTTTAAACATTAAACAGTTGTCTGAACAGCTGCAGATAAGATAAATAAATATACAACTAATGGATTAACTGACAATAACTAATACAAGTACAACCTTATTGTAAAGTAGTGGGTTTCAAACTTTCTTGCTCATACCCCCTTTAAAATGTAAAAAAAAAAGATCCCTAACCCCGTACCTGCCCAAATTTGACTAGGCTTTATGTAAACTGCCATTTAAAAAAATGCAGTGCCTTAGCTGTTTGGTACAGTCTGTAACACCCTTGGTTTGCCAACTTTGAGAGCCTTCCTGACTGACTGAATAAAATATGCGGTTTTCCACTAAGACAACCGGGGTGCTGAAATATAATTGGCTAAACTGGCATTGGGCGGGTTAAATGACCAAAACAATGTCAGACTTTCTGGCACGTAACGCACATTTTCAAAGCAAAATATCTGACTTTAGCTTTGTTTTTCAGATAAACAAATTTGTTCACCTAGCATATTTCTTAAATATCTGCAAACATATGGTATTTTTATGCTTTAGAAAAGTAAAAACTTACATGCCTATACAGCACCATTAAGGCTTTTTAAATAATTTTATTCTATTCAAAGCAGCATTTGGGGTGATAAAACCTTTTGATATTATTACATGTGCTGGATGATCAGCTATTTGCATAATCAATTCCTGTTGATGATCATTCTATTCATGGACACCTAATTAATTTAATTACTTTCGATTTTCTAAACCTATGGTGTCAAGCTCAGTTCCTGGAGGGCCACATTCCTATTTCAAACAAGCCCGAAGGACTCAATTAGTATGATCAGATGTGTTTAATCTCTAATTAATGTTTAATTAAAGTTGGAACTATACTTTTTATTTCCTGATATATATAAAAAAAGAAAAAAAAAGTGCAAACTTTACAATACTTTACAAAGCAGTTCACAAACAAACAGAAAGCCCTGTGAATAAACAAAAATCAGTTTGGAGTAAAACCCAGAGCTTAAAAAAAAAAAAAAAACTGTAACAAAAACAAAAAGAATCCAGCTGGAAATCCCTATTTTGTTTAATCGGTAGAAAGATTGCATATTTTGAACTGCTAAAAAGATCTTAAGAATAAAAGTGTGATTATTTACATATTTTCTTTTTAAACCAACTCTGTAACTTTAAGGACTATAGTAAAGACATAACTTACAATGACATCAAATTTGGAGTAAATGTCCACAACCTTTCCTTTGGGAAGAAAAAGATGGAAAGAAAATATAAGAATTTAATTTTGAAATGCACATGAAAACTGGTTTCCTAAAAGGGCTTAAACAGAACAATAATTGCAGTACATCGATTTATAAAAAATAAAAATAAATAAATAAATTAAATAATTACCAGTAACATCCACAACTGGCAGGGCAGATACTCTCCTCTCCACAAACATGCCCAGCGCTTTAATAATGGGCGTATCTGGGTGAATGTAGGCAATGTTGCTGTATGTGCCAATGCCCAGCTCCACCAGGGTCTGCTTCATGAAGGCTGGTTTAGGCATCTCACACACCTACATAATCACACACACATGACACACAAGGATGATCAGAGTTTCTTAATACATTTCTGTATGTTACAGACCAAATCATAATTTCATGTTTAGGCATATTGTGCTGTGCTCCACTCTGTTTCTCTCTCTCTGCCCTGCTCTCAGGTGAATTAGCTCCAAGCTGCTAATCATTATGAGCCTGTAATGATTTCTGCCTTCCAATCCGTCCCTTCATGGATCAACATTTATCCCTTTTCTCATTACTTTATTAATATGATTATTTGAATAATGAATAAAGTTAACACATTGTTTAATGTAACGATGTTCTGTGCATTTGCCTGTCTCTTTGTAACTTTAGTTTCAGGAGCCACCAAACCAGGTCAGAGGTCACGGAGACCTCGAGTGGAACTGAAGGGCTTGATGATTGAAACAACTGTACAATTGTTTTCCTATTTGTATTGCTATGTGTTAATACTGTCTAAAGTGATTTTGGTATTACTAATATGTGCTAATTCTGTTTAAAGTGATTTTACTTTTTATTCAAGATAGTCTGAATGCTGTTTATAACAGTTTTGAACTAGTTTATTAAGACAGCTTAGTGTACAAAGATACAACCTTAGGTTTTCATAACACATAACACTGACTCTGGCTCTTTTTCATCTGAAAGAGTAGTCATTCTTTAGGTTTAAACTGTAAATTATCCCTACACCTGACTGAAACTGTGTGCTATAGGTATAAATGTTGCCTTTTGAAGCTACTGAGCTGTGGAACATTTCTCCCCAGATTTTAAGTGTAATAGTTGGTTTGTGATATTGTTTGTTGTTGTTGGATTAATTCTTAATTCCAGTTGTGTAAGCTGTGTTAGACTGTAACACTGTGTAGATGATAACATTATTGTGCCTTCTTCCTCTGTGGTTATTACTTTGTGTATTTAATTTGACACTTGCCTTATTTTCTTTTGTATACCTTTTCTCCTGGTTATGGTTGAGAAAAGAAGCTCAGCGAAGTTTGATTTTTGCTTTAGGTAAGTTTGTTTACTACTTGGTTAGCTGCTTTTTGCTTGTTTTAGGCTATACTCACTCAATTTGACTTTCAGTTTCTGTTTCCTATATTTCTATTCAATAAATACTGCTTTTTATTTTTTCTAAACATTGTGCAGACTTTTCACTCTGGGATAAGGATTGAAATGTGAATTAAAAGGCTTTAACACTGTACCTTTTGACTAGTTTGTCACAACAGCTGCCATTTTTTTTTTTTTTCAGAATATGGGTAACACGTTATTTTGATGGTCCTCCTATAGATAGTCTGCTGACCAGGGGTAATTTTTGGATTTTCATTTTAGGGGGGCTCAGCTCCTTATGAGGAGAAAAAAAATAGATATTTACATATAATGTTTATATTGCATTTATTAATAAGTAATTTAATAGTAATACACTTAAAATTGTTTGTTTAATGTGGTAGGGTTGTATACTAGTATTCCATTATATTGCATAGACAGGCATAGCCATTTGAGTTCTAAATAAGCCAAATAGACTCAACCCACCTGTTTCTTGGAGTAAAAAACACTTTCTGTACTCAAGTGCATTTTTTGTTTCCATGTATTAAATAAATAAACTGCCACTTTTCTAATTAAATGGCATACATATAAATACATCTTTTTAAACTTACAGCCTAATTCACTTATTTTTTCGATCTGAATGATAATTATAAATAAAAATAAGAAGTATTTTTTTAAATACTAGACAACACTTGATGTTTCTATCTCTGTCAGTGACTCAGTGACAGTTAAAATGTGAACATTCTCTAAGTGGTTCTGTCACTGTTTTTAACCTTTCTGTACAAGACTGTATGGTATAGTTAATGCCACACAAACTGTAAAGTGTTTAATATTGGTAGTTCATTTTGAAATAAAAATAGCGAAATGTTCATTAAGAGTTACATTTTTCGCTGGAGGAAACAAATGTGCTGGTGAGGTGAACACCGAGAACACCCAGCTGCTCCTCCATGACATTGGGACAGGTGCTCCGGTTTCCCCCACAGTCCAAAGAATTGCGGTACAGGTGAATTGGGTAAGCTAAATTGTCTGTAGTGTACGAGAGTGAATGAGTGTGTAATTAATATTAATTATATAATACATAAGTATATATGGTTAAAAATCTGTTGAAATGTTGTGTTGCTGCTTATAGACACCTATAGACTACTAAAAAAGCTCTTAGTTGTATACTAAAAACTCAAGGGTTTTTGTTACATGTCTACTAATACAATATTGAATATTTACAATCTATATTGATCACACTTTACTGACCACATGTTTAGACATTGTAATGATTGCTTAGGAACATTTAAAAGACATACATATACTACAGCACCCTGATGAGAGTATGTAGATATGAACTTGTATCTACTTGTTCTGATACCTGTGCTCAGGGTATTGGCAATACCAAGTACTGAAATGATAGTTAAGTGTGTAATTGAAGAAACAGTTGTGTATACTACTAGCCCTGTATAAATTGACAGAATTTATGATGTGCTGCAGACTTCTCCATTCATTTTTATTATCACACATTTTATTATCAGACATTTAAAAAGTGATAATATTGTTGTAAATTATACACCTGCTCTTTCCCTCTCGCACCACCAGAGGAAGCTACTGCCCAAATTCTAGTTGGGTTCCATTAGGATGCAATTCCCCAGAACCCTCATACCTAGAACTGATTTTGGGTCTGGCTAGACCCAAGTCCCCAGCCCTTTTTATTCTCCTCATTGCCCACTGAACTTTGTAAAGTCTTAATTTGCCTTGCTGTCATTATGGAACATTTTTCCGTGCTTGCCTGTAATTTCAGACCCTTTTGTTTATCGACTACAACTGTTTGCTACCTACCCTGACCCCTGCCTGGCATTGATCTCTGATTTTGGATTGCCCTTAACTCTGACATTTTGTCTTTTACCCATTGTTTTATAAAGACTGCAGATAGATCTGTCGACCACCGAGTCATCACTTTAATGGAACCAGTTTAGTCACAAATCAAACACCATAAACTGATAAAAGTCTATTAAGATTTACAGTCGGCTGCACGGTGGCGCAGTGGGTAGCACAATTGCCTCACAGCAATAAGGTCGCTGGTTCAAGGCCTGGTTGGGTCAGTTGGCATTTCTGTGTGGAGTTTGCATGACCGAGTCCAAAGACATGTGATATAGGTGAATTGGTTAGGCTAAATTGTCCAAAGGACATGGGTGTAAATGAGTGTGTATAGATATTTCCCAGTGAAAGGTTGCAGCTGAAAGGGCATCCACTGAGTAAAACATATGCTGGATAAGTTGGTGGTTCACTCCACGGTGGCGACCCCAGATTAATAACGGGACTAAGCCGAAAATGAATGAATAAAAGTTTTACAGTATGAATCATATTTATTCACTAATAAAAAATCTGTACAAAAAATGACGAAATATAAAAAATAAATATGAATAATATAAAAAATAACCTCTTTAAAATTTTAAATTCTGAATTAAAAAAAATGAAATAGTACTAACTTTATCTAGGTTTGCAGTGTTAAGCAAAGCTAGCAGGCATATGTCTTAATACAAAAAATGATATTGGACCGGTATATGGTTTCAAATACTTGCCGATCACAATGCAAAAAATATTTCTGATACTAGTATCAGTATCTGAACAACCCTAGTCAGCAGACTATCTACAGGGGTAAAATCAAAATAAAGTGTGAATAAAATGCGATTATATTCTTCATAAAATGATCAGCAAGCTAAAAGAAAGTGGCACAATATACTCACAAAGAGCTGAAGAAACTTCAGGATTCTCTTGTGCGTGAGGATATACAAGGCATTTCCTGTGACCGGGTCGATCACTGGCAAACGATGAATCTTATTTTTTATCAGTGAGTAAACAGCATTGAATATACTGGGGAAAAACCCAAAGAGTTACAGGGAATCAAACATTTCAAAAGTTCTGCAAGCTCAGGAAATTCTGAAATGATACAATGACTCACTTTGCATTTGGAGATATGTTGACTAAGGGTTTAAATGTTTCTTGCAAGTAAAGTTCTGTTGGTATAAATAGAAAAGTCAACCTTTTATAAAGAAAGTACAAAAGATTCATATTTATAAGCTAGCAATAACGTTTCAGTGAATTTCAGTCAATAACAAAAAATCTATAGAAATGTTTATTGCTTGACATTCTGCTGTGAATTGCAAATGAAAATAAGAGCATATTTACCTCTCCAAGTCTCAATTTTATGCTCCTCCAGCGCATATATTTGCACCTGAGGCATATATAAAAAAAAATTACTCGAAATGTTGAAATAGACAAACATTCATCCTAGTAGCTGAATATTCATTTAGAGTTTATATGAAAGGACTACAATCTGAGGAGTATGTCCATGCTGAGATTTTTTTTCTCTTTTCCATTTAAAGTACTGCTAGCCAGGGTTGGGTGATTGTGATAATAGCCGCATTTCCACTGTTGGGCCAGTGCAAGTCAGGGCTTTAATCGGGCTAGGCCGGGCCAATCGCCCGGCAGGTTGAGCAGTGAGGCTGAAATAATGTTGTGTTTCCACTGTCGGGCTATAGCTCGCAGCGCGTCACGCAAACCCCGCCCCCAGAACGTCCCCCAAATCAAAACGTCACACAACCTGCCCACTTCAGCGGGAATCAGGCAGATAAAACACACCATCACATCATCACGAAACCATTCAAATAAAGACAACCGAAACAAACAGACCCAATACTGTTCAGCATTACATTATATGTCTATACGCACAGGCCTGTGTGTTCTCATTCATCATAATCATTTACTAGCCAACTGACTGTTGCCATCGAAATCGAGTGGTCTCGTCACTAATGGAGGGACCCATCGCATTGAGCGCACCAATCCATAATATAAAACCACAAAAATTCTCTGTAAGTAAAGACAGAAAAAAAAAAAAATGTATTTTATAACATCCTCGTTTAGAAAGACGCCATTACACATTCAGCCCAAATGCTTTGGAGAGACCTGAAACATTATTTTTTTCCCTATAGACTATGAGAGTTAAAAGGTGATCCCCCTTTATTTAAGAATATTTAAGGAAAGTGTTAAGTATTTCAGCACATAAGAGCAAGTAATAAAATATAGTCTATATTCCTTTGCGCTCAGCAGCTATCTACTAATAAAGCTCTTCATGTATTTAAGAAAAAAAGATAGCCTAGCCTAAAGAAAAAAAGATCACCTTTCTGCTTTCACTTACCCAAAAATGCTATGTTTGCATGATTTGATTAATATCATCGTATCCAAATACTTAATAAATAATATTTCAAACCTTCTTCGGTGATTATTGTTTTAAGAAAAAATCTAAAATCTTTGAGGCCTTTGTAAAATAAAAGTTTAAAATGGCTTTAAAACGGTTTGATTTATGTAGGCTATTGTATATACCTAAATTGGTTTAGCTTTTGTTAGTTTTATATTGCTTTATTTAGGCTATTTAATGGGATTTTATTACAGTAGGTGAGAGTTCAAAGTGGCTATTAACGCCGCGGCTTGTACCGCCGCCGTTTGAAATAGGTGCCGCTCTGTTTTTAGTGTATGACCGCAGTTTGTGAATGAGCCGCCAGGGGGCGCAAAGGGACGGGATGCGAACGGACAGAAATAGCCCATACAGCTACTGTGCTTGTAAATGATATTAAACAATAAGTCAAAGCATTATAATTCCTTCATTAATAATTTAAAATTTGTTAACACGCTTTATTGTAAACTTTTTAAGTGCAAAGAGGATTCGTTTTGGAAAATAGAATTGAAGAAGTAAAAGACAACTAAAATGAAAGCACAAACATTTAGTACAAATAAGTAGTCTTAAATAAATAAATAAATAAATAAATAAATAAATAAATAAATAAAGCAGCCTAAATAGAAAGATGTTCAGTGTTTGCTATTTTGATAGGACTAAGACAAGACATTTTCATTTAGGTTTTATTTCTGTTTTTATTTCCATTTTAGTTGTTGATTATATTTTACTATCTCATTAATGTCTCAACAATTGTACATAAACGAATAATAAACGAATAATGAAAATAAATGAATAATGAAAATAGGCCTAAATAAATTATTTATTTAAAGACATTGCCATACAGTACGTGAAACACTGAGAAAAATAAATTGACCTACCTTAAGCAGATCACTCAAAGTATAATAAAAATATTTTTGCCGCAGGACATAAATTAAGTCTTGCAGGTTTATTTTTAATAATTTAGTTTCAGTTCTGTTCAGTTTTTTTTTTTTTTTTTTTTCAAAACGTCAATGTTCTCCTTTAAAGTAGCTATAACTGTTTTTTTTTTTTTTTTTTTTACTTATGGCTCAGTATGTTTTGTATTTTAACTTCATATTCAGTCACCTTGCATATGTGTGTGAAATATAATGCCGCATAACCGCGGAAAAAGAAGAAAAAGCTGTCAAAGGTTAGAGCTAATTCATCAAAATAAGCTATATTAAAATACAGCATTTATGTTAATACAGGCAGAGTGTGAACAAACTCAAGGCTAAGATATGCGCTTGCCTTTTAATGCATTTGCGGCCTTTTAATAGGCTACAGGCAACTATGTATAATAATGTTTTTTTTTCTTTTTTTTTTTGTATGGTAAAGGACAATGCACATTATGTTATTGATGTAAACTTAGGCTAAAACTTACCATTGATAAACGTGACCTACTTCAAGCAGATCACTTAAAGTATAAAAAAAAATAAAGTAGGCTATATATATATAGGCCTATATATTCTTAATAAACTTCACAGCCACAAATATAAAAAACACAACTTGTATTAAAACTGGGCGAGGATTAGAAAGAATACGATGCTTGTTATATAATTTAAATTTTGATTCCAATTTCTGCAAGCACATTTTTTCACTCGCTACTCTGCCAGAAACTTCGCCGCCGGAGAGCACCTCAATAATGTAAACATTTGTTTAAAGATGGAGCGCAAGATGTGCTGAGTGGCAACATGTGAAGAACGATGGCAAAGCTAAGTGTGATTATTGTAATAAGTTGTAAAGCAGAGTCCTGACCAACAGGACTAAGCATATGCGGTTGGCTCATTCTTCACGAATATAGAATTAAAATAATGGCTCGTTAGGTTCACTAAGCAGCGCATTCTCTCCGCCTCATCGTTTATAACCAGCGGGACACGCTGCTGAAGCAGTAGAGACACTCCGTCATTCATAATCTTAGCTGATGTATCGGAGTCGAAAGAATATATCAAAGAGGAATTTTCTTTCCTCTTTTAACATTCCCGATCTTTTAACATTCCCGATATGTTTAATCTTTTTTTTTTTTTTTTCGTGTCATTTCTCTTCAGCAAATTATATATATTTTTAAAGCTGCTTGATTCTTTTAAAACCGAAAGCAGAGCCCGTGGTGTTTTTCCATAAGATACTCCTTTATGAATGTTTAATTTTTTTATTAAAGTCTTTAATGTGCTTTTTGATAGTTTTATTTTATTTTAAGCAGCATTTAAATGCGAATTTATCCTCAATACTTGGCATGAGAGCGATGCAAGTCATGTGTGGCAAAATTGCCTTTTTTCCCTGTGAGTGCGAGATCAATTTCTGATCTTTTTGCAACTAAAATGAAAGCATAAACATTCAGTACAAATAAGTAGTCTTAAATAAATAAATAAATAAATAAATAAAGCAGTCTTTTAACCTAAATATAGAGAGATGTTCAGTGTTTGCTATTTTGACAGGACTAAGACAAGACATTTTCATTTATGTTTTTATTTCTGTTTTTACTTACATTTTCGTTGTTGATTAAAGTTTACTATCTCATTTTATGTCTCAACAATTGTAGATAATAATAAACGAATAATGATAATTAATGAATAATGAAAATAGGCCTAGATATATTATTTATTTAAAGACATTGCCGACATTGAGCTTAAGTTGAATGCAGCTTCGTCAAAAGCAAAAAAAATAAATAAATTGACCTATTTTAAGCAGATTATAATAAAAGTATTTTTGTATATCCGATATTTGTAATTCTTTAAATTATTTCAATATAGCTTAGGCTATTTTATGAAGATATGACACTATTGTTTTGAGCCTACAAAAGTGGACACAAAATTTGTAAAGTTTCATGCCTTTCTGTTGTATTCATATTGTGTAATATGTGTAAGTACTTTTCCTCGGTCTCACAAACACATACAGGTATCTAAACACGCACAAACAAACTTTTTAATTTGACAAAAACTCTTGAAAACCTTTACTGTCTGCTGTGTCTTTAATATATTGTAAAGATAATTATGCATTATTGAAACATCAAGGAGGATGCAGCGAAGAAAAGTCACTTATAAATTAAAATTGTATTATTTTATGCAACAGCCTTACATTTAAAAGAGAAACATAAGGGCCACCATACACAAAAAGACACCAGCCTATAAGGCTAGATGTTTTCTTTCCCTTATTTATTTATTTGTTTGGCGCATGTACTCGTGTGCGATCGGAAAACTGTGTCCGCACTCCGCCTCTACTTTCACTCCGCCCCAAATCCCCAGTCGGCCTTCTTTGGCCCAAGGTATTTGGCGGGCCAAAAAAGGCCGGCCACTGGCCCCAAGAAAGCCCCGATTTGGCCCGATTAGACCCCGGAAGTGACAGTGGAAACGCGACTGGTCTGGCTCGCCCTGGCTCGCTCGCTTTAGGCGTGATAGTGGAAACGCGGCTAATGTCTCTGGGGCCCCCTAATTGTATGGGCCCTTAAAATCTTCCTAACAAACCACCCCCCCCGAGTACTTACAAGTGGTGATTTGTAGTATCTGTGCAGAATTATGATGAAGTCTGTGATTGTTAACATTCCTATAAAAAAACATACATTCAGGTTTAAACATTCTCTTTGTATGCTCAACAATATCCAGGCCTATAGGTAGACTGCTAGCAGCTTTTTGTGGTATTCACAAAATCATTCACCATTTGTCATGTTCTACAAATCAGTTTCCTGTATATATTTATTACTCATTAACATTTCAGGATTAATGGTCCCGTGAAATTAAAATAAATTTTTTTTAGATGTTCGTATTAGCACATTAGTGCCAAGGATGTTTATAATGCAGTGTGCTCCAAAACAGTGACAAAATTTATGTTGAAAAGATTGAATCATCCCAAGCTTGTAGGTTTGTTGCCTAAATGGGACAATATATATATATATATATATATATATATATATATATATATATATATATATATATATATATATATATATATATATATATATATATATAAGCAATTCCATGCAATTGTCAACCTTGCCATAAAAAATGTAGTTTTTACCAAAATACGGAAACCGTTTCTAAGTTTCTAAGCAAGATTTTTAAAATACCTTACAAATATTCAAAAGTGTATCTATCAAATTTTTCAAACTACTGCAATTGATTTACTAAAGTCACACAAGTGGCAATCTGACATCCCCTGCCCCCTTCAATAGGCTTCTCAAAAGCCTTTTATTTGATGCTCTTGAGCTCAACCAGTCTCACTGCAGAGCTGTGGTAAAACAAAATGCTATTGGCTGTTTTTTTTATAAAGTGGAGGAGCAACTGTATAGCCTGCCCTCTATTCATGTTTCAGTTGAGATTGCATCAAATTTAAAAAAAAAAAAAAACTTCAAAGGAAAAAGAAAAAGGTATTGATTGTTTAGAAAGACTCTATAATTCAAGCTATCAATGCAAAAAAGTGTTTTTAATTTAAATTACGTCATAAAGTAATATTGCACAAGTAGAAATGGCTTTCCCAGATATCAATGCATGAACATGATTGCAAATGTTATATTGATTTATTGCAGGAGTCGCCAAGTTTAGACCTGGGTGCATTTCCCAAACAACGTAGTTTCTCTGTCGCAGGTCGATTGTTTGAACCACAGTTATATTGTAAAATGCCCATAATGATGCTTTAAATGCGGTGGTAACAAATCCTACTTTAATAATAATTTTAATTTAATGATGATGATGATTATTATTATTATTATCATTCATTCATTTTCTTTTAGACTTAGTCCCTTTATTAATCTGGGATCGCCACAGCGGAATAAACCGCCTTGAACTTATCCAGCATTTGTTTTACGCAGCAGAGGCCCTTCCAGCTGCAACCCATCACTGGGAAACATCCACACACACTCCTTCACGCACATACACTAACGGTCAATTTAGCATCCCCACCGGTAACACATGTCTTTGGTCTGTGGAGGAAACCGGAGCACCCGGGGGAAATGCCAAATCAATGAACTATGTTTGTAACGACGCAACTTATGACCTTAGTTGACCAACGTTGGTTTTCAGAAATGCATCACTGGATGGCTAGTTACATGATGATTTTAGATACAACCCTAATCAAACACACCTGAACAAGCTAATTAATAGGTGCGTTTGACTACATGCATCACTGCGCTGACTGATCGAAATCTGTCTTAAAGTGGTGCATGCCTGTTAGAAATGTTGCCCGATTTGATGCTGTGCAGACGCCATGTCACTGTCACATGTACTGCGACAGTGCTCCGAGATCAAGTAGGGTCTGGTCTGTCTGCGGACTGTCATAACTGTCAGTAACCACCTGAGGGCGCTGTAGTTCAACGAACTCTGAGAGTGAACTACATCGCCCAAGAACTACAAGTCCATACATCCCACGTGCATTACACCCGGTTCACTTACACTGATTGGCCATTCACAGCTGTTCCTGGTTCCTGTTGATTTCCTGGACTATTTATACAACGATTTACCCACTGTTCGTCACTGCGTCGTTTGTCTTTCCTGTCTGCATATTCTAGTAAGTCTTGTATATCGAGTTTGTTATTTCCTGAGCCTTGTTCCCATTCCTGATTCTTATCGCAGTTTCTTGTTTTGTTGTTTATTTGTTACTTTGTTATTTTTTTAACACCGGACACCTTGTTTTTCAGTTTGCTGCACGATCCTTTATTAAAATCTGCACTTGGATCCTACACCCCGTTTTTGTTCCTGTTTTCAACCCGTAAAGTGACACGGACTGCAAGACAGGAACGTAACATGAAGGGGGTGTAACTTGTAGTAGAAGCATAACTTAAGTTATTGAGATCCACATGTATAAACTACTGTATGTTGTCAGCAGGATGTCGCTGTACCATCCCAGTTATTATTGTCTACACTTATATACCTACACCCAACTATAATAGTTATTAACTTCTACACCACCCTCAACCCTAAACCCAACCATCACAGTAATTAACATCTACATTTATCTCAACCCTAAACCCAACCCTCACAGTTATTATCATCTACACCTACCCAAACCTAAAACCAATGCTCACAGGTATCAACTTCTACACCTACCTGAAGCCTAAATCCAACCATCAAGGTTATTAACGTCTATACCCCAACCCTAAACACAACAATCATAGTTCCTAACGTCTACCTCTACCTCAACCCTAAACCCAAACACCATACTGTAGTTATTAACGACTACACCTACCTCAACCTTAAACCCAACCATCACAGTTTTTAACACTTACTGTACTGTACACATACAGCTACGAGTTGCGGAGGCTTTCATACTTGACGCGCTTGCCATTGTAATGTTATTTGCAACATCAGGGGGCAACATGAATAGGGCTAACTGTCATGTTAAAATGGTTGAAGAAGGCAGCAAGTGGATCAGATAGCAGACTCTAAAGGAGCAGCATCTATTAATATAGCAGTACACCGATATTACACAATTGGTTGGCCTGAGCGCATGACAACCACCACGTGTGTTTCAGATTTATTATTGGACAACTTTAGTGTCACAACTTTCCAAACAAAAAATTAACTTTTTATACCATGTAATAAACTATTGCAATATAATAGTCATCATTGATCGTGCTACCACATAAAAGTTTCGTAACAAATTAAGTTATATTTTCATTTTATGAAATAATTAAAAAATAATGTCTAAAATTATATATATTAGACATGTTGTGGATAATAAATATAAATTGAATCATTGACTTGATTCTATATATATTGTTATGTAATGAATATGGCTGATCAAACACATAATTACTTTGCTTTTATTCAACAAATGCGTCAGCAAACACAGCACCAACTTCTCCACTGGAAAATTCTGGATGGTCAATTGCAACCCAACCCCAAGGTATTTGCGACACAAAGAAATGTGGTCAAAACTGGACACAGAGAAAACTTCTATAAGCTCCTTGTTTAAGACTAATGTTTTAATGTAAACTTTTATTCTCTCTTTTGTGTAATCAGGTGTGTTGCAACGTTTCCCTTGCTCCTGTGTTAATATTATGGTTTTAATAGTTCTGCAATCAATGTTTAACTCTACAGCAGCTAAACAAGCTCATAGCTAGTTCATGTTTGGTGTCCTTGCAAAGCTAATTTGGTGTACTGAACGTTTACATTTCATGTTAATACGAGTGCAACATATTAAAATTTTAAGAAACTTGAACATTTCTGCCTCAATTTACATCAAAATACCTATGCAAATCACTACACTTCTGAACAAAGGACTATAAAACATGCCTCAGGGAAGTTTTACTTCGCTTTGGTCAACTTGGCCCTGGAGGGTGGGTACAAACAATCCTTATAAAAGCTTGTGCCTAAGGCCACTGTCCTAAGACCAGAAACAGAAACCTCAGGCCAGAGACCCAATGACCCCAAAGAGGCTATAAAAAACTACAGACAGGAGCAGGCTGGGACCCAGACAAAATGGGTTAATTGCACAGCTCAGACATTTCCATCTCGATACCTTTCTTTTTAGTCTTGTTATGTTTAGTGTGCCGCAAAACCATTAGTCAACCATGACTAGCCTTTTTGCCACTTTCAAAACTTGAAACGACAGATTACACCCCACTCCAAGCCTTCCGAGGACAAAAGAACGGGGGCCTCATGTATCAACGCTGCGTATGCACAAAAACTTTGCGTACGCCAGGTTTCACGCTCAGAATCGCTCACGTTTGGATTTACTAACAATGAACTGAACGTGGGAATGTGCGCAGGTTCACGGCAGCTTTCTGGCAGGCGTACGCACATTTTTTGTGCGTGTCTGTTTTATTTCCATTGGCGACTCCTAGAGGCAGTTGTGTTAAATTCCTCTCTACAAAGTGTCTGATCCTTGCAATGGCAGCTGTATGAGACGGGTTCATATAGTAGGTATGTAAGATTTCCATACCATACAGTTGACCAGCTAAACATTAAAGCACAATTTGCAGCGGTCGCCTGTTTTCCCAATGTAATCTGAGCGATCTACCTCACGCACATTGCTATAAAGACACTATCTGAAGATGAATTTGTATGCGTGAATCAGAAACATTTCCATTCAATAAATGTGCAAATAAAATATGATGCACAAACTTATTGATGATTCCTACTTGTTTTTCTCTTGATAAATAGTGGGCAAAATCTGATATGTAGCGGGGGGAAAAAAGAAAGAATTCATTAGACGCTGGATTCGAGCCGAGTTAATGCTCGAACATGTCAGTACATGATCACATGCTTCTTCTGAGGTGCGCCACTGAGACTGCTAAGGGTACTGCAACATTTTTCAGTTATAAATCACACTATTTCTTTTTTAAATGCACTCAGTGCGATGTTCAGACCCAACTGTATTAACCGTATCAGCTAAACTCTCCCACTCTATTTTTTTCTTTTGTTGTTAATTCCGGAGAACAAACTTGCAAATAATACTGCTTTTCTCCGGTCTACCTCCGAAAGCAGCACCTCCAATTCACATTCTGTTCAAAGTTTCTCTTTTTGCTTGCTTTTGACATTGCTTTTTCGTTGGGTTTTGCCATTAGCATAGTCATTAGCATATTCATACGGGGGAGGAGGCAGGGAGGGGTTTTGTGCTCGTGCATGTTGCACTCAGTTTCACGTTCATTCAGATGTACAAAAGAATATGCGTGAGATTCGGCGTACGCAGTGTTTCATACATCTGAATTTCTTTCTGCGTACGCACATTTACACCTTTGTGCGTACGCAATGTTTTAGTAAGATTTCCACGCAAGTCTTCGTACATGAGGCCCCTGAACACCAGCCAACCACGTGCTGCCACGGTAGTTCTTCACATCACACAAGGAACGCAAGTAACACTTCCATAAAAAGCATAGAAGGGTTAAATTGATTATGTGTGGTTCGCTTGGTTTGGTCCTACAAAATCCGAGGTTTTCCATCATTACATTCACTCAAACTGTTATTTTCCTGTCTTTACTCTTCTCTACACTTGTATGAATTAGTGTTAGGTGTAAGCTTCTGTTAGATTAGTCAATAAAGTTTCATTTTGTACATAGAAAGGCACCTGTGCATATTTATAAATCTAATGCCGTAAACTTCAATCTTGTTACCCTGCTTAAACATAAATGGGGTTTATTTTGAAATCAACAGCCGTGATTAAAGTCAACTGTCGGTTCGAACGATCGATGGGCGATTCGTTTGTTCGGATTTAAAGAGTCAATTCTTTCGAAGCCCCGTTCAAATGAATCTTTTTCTTTCCTTTGAGCTAATTTGCTACATTATTTAAAAAAATATTAGTTGAGTCATTTTTGTTGATATAGCACATACCTAGATGTATATCTTTAACATAAAATAAATATATAATTTTATTATGTTTGATTGATGTTAACAAGAGTATGGAGTACTCAAAATTTTTTAAATATATTTTACCACATTGAAATGAACTTTCTAAAGTCTTTAAAAAGTCCATATCCATACAGAAAACAGTCAGCATTGAATTTTAACCAATCTGGTACATGTATTTTAAGCCAGTTAAGCTAAGCATGTTCAATTATGTTATAGGTAAATAAATAATACCCTGAAACAATGCTTTTATTTGATTATTTTTTATTGGCAGACTAAAGTAAAAACATAATGTCTACATGTTATAGAAGGGCATTATTCTAGTCCAAATACTAATAGAAATGCAGGTGAGAGGATATATGTTTGTGTTTGATGAGTGGTTGGGGATGTGCATATGTGTTTGCTCACCCACAAAGCTTTGCGTTTTAGTTTCCCATAATGGGGCAGCTCGAACTCCATTGGCAACCAAGGCAAAAAAGGCTTTCTTTACCTAACAGAGAACAAAAGAATTATATCATAATCATAAAGCTTTTCTTTTTAGTAGAAGAACTGGTACTGTTAGCCAAAAAATATAGGAGACACAATGAGTTATGTGCAACCAGTGTTATAAAAATCTGCACCTGCGATTGGAAAATTTTGCATCCAATAAAGTTGTAGTTGAACTAGTGCTGTCAATGTTAATGTGCCAAATGCATGACATTTTTAAAAAAGTTAATATTTCTTTAACACCAATCTAATCTTTTGATATGGTTTAATCTCAACTTCTTGTTGTCATCACAGCCATATCATTGTGTGGTAAGTGTACAGCAAATGGCAGTATTATAATGAATCAAGATATGATGCCTAGTGTGCTGAATGGCAATCAATATCATCTTACCAAAGTATCATCTTGCCAAACATTATTTTTTTTGCAGATGCTAGCAAAGATGCTAGTGCTGAGAAAGTGAGTCATTAAATGGATTACAGCAGACTGCAGACCCATCAACATTGCTCAGGATACCATACCAGTTACCATCAAGACAAACTACTAATATGAGAATATTGGTCATTGACAGTTTCCAAAACAGTGGCCCCTAAAGCCAAAGTCACACTGTACCTTTCACCCCATAAAGTTCCATTCATATGCAATATGTCTCTCCACACCACCACCAGTGTGCAGCTCCACTTGGATGATGTGAAGGACAACAGCACCAGAGACTACACACCAGCTATTGGTGGAGTGGAGAGACAGTAATAGAGCCAATTCAGTAGATGGGGATGATTGAAAGGCCATGATCGTAAGGCCGATTGAGAGACTTTGGCCAAGAAACCAGAGTTACACCCCTACTATTAACGAGAAGTGCCACGGGAGATTTAATGACCACACACAGCAAATTCATTGGTGTTAAATTTCAAGTGTTGTGGTAATTCAGAGTAAAGTGTTAAAATTCTAGAGTAAGATGAAGGTAAAATAACCCTCTCGGCATTAGAAGCTGATTTACCTCCTTGTCATTTAGAGTAACATGTATCTACCTTTGTAGAAAACCCCTGTTTTTAAGAAACTTATCAGAGTGTCTGATCTCGCCCTACACCCTCATTCACCTGGCCCTTAAATTAGTTAATTAGTTTAGTCCACTAGACAGAGTGAATGACCACAAACAAGTGAATTCAGACACCTGCTGTTAAACACCTGCTCTTAACAAGCACAATCACTGAAGGAATAAGAAATTGAAGGAAGAAATAAAACTAAAGACACAGCCTCACACCAAACCAACTGAATTAAAACAGAGGATTAAACAACTCAATTAAATAACAGCATAAGCAGCTTCACTGAATACAGTTTGACTTCATTTCGGTAAGAATATTTGAAAATGAACTGAGGTTTATTTTTTTTATTAAAAATATTTCATTTGACCTCACCATCATGGAGATCAGAGGCTGCTTAGTTGAGCTCTTGAAGCTTTACTCTGCTATCTTTATGTTTATCTGATTGGTTTAGCTGTGTTTATAAAACGCATCAGTTATAGCAAGAAGTATTGTGAGAAACTTTACTGTCTGTGCTTAATTGTTATAGATCTAATTTCAGATGTTTAATAAGTTAATTCATAAAAAAAAAAATGAAAACATATTTGCATTGAAGCTGTATGGGATATTACAGCTGGCAGCCTGCTGCCCTTCACAGAGGTTTAACAAACAATTAGGATGCAATTAATAATTAGAGTGTCATGCACCAATCCTTCAAGCTTTATCCGCTTATTATGACACACAGACATCAAGAATCAGGATTTGAACCTCAACTGTGGTTGCTAAAAAGAAAAAAAAGCTGCATAGTTCATGCCGCAATGCATGCTGGGTGCCAGCATAGTACAAAGCTCCCAGCATGCATTGCAGCATAAATAAATTATGCAGCTTTATGTTCTTACAATCTCTTTCTTTCCCTTTATTTTGTGTTGTTTTTTGGGAGGTGATATTTCAGTAGAGTGTTTTGTATTGTTCTGGGTTGTTTTTTTTTTTTTTTTGTCACCATTATTGAGATTCAAAGACTAATTGTTGATGCCTGTGTGTTTTTCATTTCTGACATAGATCAAACATTCTCATTGTAAATTGTGTTTTTAAACCTGTAATAAAGTCATTAATTGTTGAAATGTCTGTGGGTTAATTTATGTATATTGATCAACCTTACACATATTTAATAAGATACTGAATCAGAAAACAAGCAGTGGAGAAAGGCTTCAATATCATAGTTAATCTCCTCTGACTCTTATATTTTCTATTGGCTTTTCATACTATATGTATAAATAGTGTGATTAACAGTAATGAATATAGCAGTCAAAATAAAAGACATTTCATAGCAAGAAGTTGAAGAGCCCGACTAAAGCAGACTCTGTCCTCCATCATGGTGACTTCAAATGAACAACAGAAATTTCATTAAGAGCTTTTGTTCACTTGACAGAAATAGTCAAAGGTCAGTAATAAGTGAAGCTCCACGATGAGTTGTTTAATGTGATGAGTTGTTTTAAAGATGTTGAAAAAAAACATTTTTAGTGTGTAATTTGTTTAATTTTTATTAATTATTTATTTAGAGTTTTATTCTCAGTTGAATTCATCTTTGTTTTTGGCTGTAATTTGTGTTTTTCTTTCCTTCAGTGATTCTGCTTGTTAACAGTTGTTCATCAATAATTCTCAATCATCCTTTAATTAGAAACTTAATTATCTCATTAACTTCATCACTGCCAGAGTGTTCAGCCCTCTGGAGTGAGGACACTAGTAAGGATTTTGCTCTGGAATTTAAGGCTTAAATGTGGTCGAAGAAAAATACAGACTGTGGGATGTGTTTTTAACAGAAATATTCTGTAAACTGAATTTACGAATGTAAAATGTTGAAAACAGTAGATTACTGGCAACCACAGCTGCTGGTATTTTACTGTAAATTTTACAGATATTTTCAACTATAAGAGTTTGCTAATTAACACTCTCTAAGTGTTAAAAATTTTAACACTTTTAAAAGTGTTATTTTAACACTTTTACAGTGGTTCCCATATAAGCACTGAGGGAGTGTTAATTTTAACTCTAAGGTAGTTAAATTTACCAAATATAAAATTTGCAGTGTGAGCTTGATAAAAAAAATGCAGACTGTGGAATGTGTTTTTAACAGAAATATTCTGTAAACTGAATTTATGAATGTTAAAAACAGCAGATTACTGGCAACCACGGCTGCTGGTATTTTTCCGTAAAATAAAAAAAATAAAAAAAAACAGCAAAACGGTTTTTGTGTCACCATTGTGGAGGATAGTAGCGTCTGTGTTCAAGTCCAAGATAAACTGAAAATATTTGATGTTATGCTGCATAATCTTTTGTTTAAATGTAACTGTGTAGTTACTAATGCAGTGAAAGTCTGTTTGCAAATTGCAATCACACATGAACAAATTATTGCATCTAATGACTTTACGTTTTTGTGCACTAAGCTATGAATTTGTAAACTGAACATTGTATTGGTTCATGAAAATTTATTCAGTTCTATAAAACTTCCATATTTTTCACAGAAAAATTGTGGCAACCACAGCTGCTGGTATTTTTTTGTAAATTTAACAAATATTTTACACAATAAGTGTTTGCTAATTAACACTCTCTTAGTGTTGATAATGTTAACACTTTCAAAAGTGTTATTTTTAACACTTATAGTGGTTCCCATATAAACTCTGGGGGAGTGTTATTTTTAACTCTAAGGTAGTTAAATTTACTATCTGAAATTTGCAGTGCAGAGAGTCAGGACCTCGGTTTAACGTCTCATCTGAAAGACAGCACCCACTGACATTATAGTGTACTCTTCATTTTTACTGGGGCATTAGGACTCACACAGCCTATTAAGCACCCCCTGCTGGCCTCTCAAACACCACTTCCAATAGCAACCTAGTTTTCCTATGTGGTCTCCTATCCAGGTACTGACCAGACTCAGCCCTACTTAGCTTCAGTGAGAAACTGGTCTTGGGCTACAGGGTGATATGGCTGTGGCATATACGCACACACAAGCGATTGTGACAGACTGAAAATGCAAGCTCGTGTGACAAGTTTCGCATGTCCCACCTTACCGAGCCCCCGGGAAGCTATCATTAAGTCCACATACTGATTCTGCTTCTTAACAGCAGGCGTTTATTATTAATTCTTAACAACACTCAGTTAATAACTTAATTATCTCACTAAATTCATCAATGCATCAGTGTTTTTGAATTTGTTTTATCATTGCGAAAATATTAGCTGTATCCAAAATTCCTCCTATTCACATTAATAAGAGAGGGGTCTGGATACAGACCTGGTGCAGATACAATCTGATCTGCAAGCAATTCTTTTAAAGCGCTAACCTAACCCCACCCCTGACAGTGATGCCACTAGCTATATTGAGTGCATTCTGTCTAATATTGCATCACTGAGATGTGCAGTCTCAGCTTGTATCATGAAGGCTGCATCCAGATACTATTGCACAATTTAATTTATTGTTTGTACATAACCAAATAAAAAAAAAAACAATATCTAAATCTTTTCTCTTTCTTTTTCTTACACTGAACATCAGAACATGTACCTGTAATGTAGTGTCAAAGACCACTAGTTTGGAACTGGTAGGGATGAGGTCATAGCACTTGTGGGACATCATGAAGTGCATGTAAATGTCACTGTCTGGCTCTTCAGCAGCTGCAAACATCAGAAACATTAGCAGAAAACGAACACAACAGTGATATTTCACAAATGTAGACCATGCAAATTTCCATCTTCAATTGATTTAGTATTTTAGATAAATGGGGTTATGCGGTGGCGCAGTAGGTAGTGCTGTCGTCTCACAGCAAGAAGGTTGCTGGTTAGAGCCTCGGCTGGGTCAGTTGGCGTTTCTGTGTGGAGTTTGCATGTTCTCCTCACATTCGTGTGGGTTTCCTCCGGGTGCTGCGGTTTCCCCCACAGTCCAAAGACATGTGGTATAGGTGAATTGGGTAGGCTAAATTGTCTGTAGTCTATGAGTGTGAATGAGTGTGTATGGATGTTTTCCAGAGATGGGTTGCAGCTGGAAGGGCATCCACTGCGTAAAATATATGCTGGATAAATTGGCAGTTCATTACACTGTGGTGACCCCAGATTAATGAAGGGATTAAGCCGAAAAAGAAAATGAATGAATAAATTTTAGATGAATAATAAATGCAATTGTGTTAGGAATCTTAAAGCTGCCTTGGTCCTTAATGGTCCTTACATCATACAAGCATACTAAAGACAGCAACCTTTATTTTGAAACGGCATTTAATTTACTTTAGTCTTTAATTATATACTTTCAGAGCACATGAACACAATAAAAGAAACAATATAGAAAATAATTTATTATAATTACCTTCATTGTCAAGTTCAAGTTTTTCCAGCAGGCCTTCAGTAAGTGTGCAGCTCTAAAACACAAACAAACAGACTAACAATTTAGTCATCCATAATTTCAAATCAGTAAGACCCTATAGTCATATTAACTTACTGAGCTAAATTTATAATGTTCTCCAATATCGGCTACGGCTCCATCAGTTTGACATTTGATATTTATAAGACATTCGGTTACATAACAGTTCAATAGTTGCAGCCGCTATGTTTTTTAGACATAATAGTCACTTTTAGAAAAAAAAAAATGCATTCCACATGTTTTACAATAAATTAAAGACTTTAAATGTATAAAATAATATAAATCAATTAAATAACAACACCATTTGAGATGAAGGTATCAAACCAACTGTAAACTATTGGACTGTTTTATAAACTGTGCCCACTTAAATTACTTAAACTATATAACAAATATACACACACACAATAAGTTTGTCTATCTGAGATGCAAAGACGAACTGATATGAAACTAAATGTCTAATAAATTCCAAACATAAATCTAACTTGTGTTTCATTTAAATCTCTCAACACAGAAGCATGCCAGACAGGGAGAGCAGGCTAATTTATTTTGAGGATGTAAAAACAAATTCATATCAACACAAAGTCATACATTTCCACCACTTTAGTCACTATCTACTGGAGATTGATGAAGTGAAAGCATCAAACATTGCAATATGAAATCATGACCTGTACATTTTGCATAAATCAACCCATAGCATAAAAATCTAACAAGCCACCAACATGAACACCATTTTTAAATGGTGAGCACTGTAATGCCCCCAGTGCTGTCTAAAGGTGTGGGGTCACACTTGAATTAGTAGAGGTTGGAGAAACAGATACTTAATATAACAATAAATAGAGATTAGACCGTCTGCCTTTAGATGCTGTTAAAGTAATGTAGTCTAAAATGTAATCTAAAATTCAATTCCCTCTAATCTAGCCTGAAAAACACAAGCATGACACACTAATCTTCTATGTAAATGACATCCTACACACACCCTTTAACCTTTCTTTAAACAGTTTGTAACTGATGTGTTGTAATGCATGTTACTTGACTTACAGATGTAGCCTTTAAAAAGGAATGGAATCCTGCACTTCAAAGAACAAAATCCTAAAAATCGCAGCAACAAGCAGTATATGGTAAAATTCCCTTGCACATGGCAATGAGTGTGTATGTGAAGTTTCAGTTTGAAATACAACACAAGTAATGTTGTAGAACTCTTTGAAACTGTTTCTTTAAGGCTTTGATCCTAATTGTCCAATTTTGGTGATTCACGTTAAATTCAAATGAGATTGTACTCCCAGCCCTCTTTTTCAAAGAGGGCAGAGTTACAAATGCCAATGTGTCAGCATAGTGGCGGATTCAAGAACTTCCTATGCTAATGAGGGAAAAATGATCACTAATGGGTGAGGCTTTCCCCCTTTGATGACATAGAGAGATTGTCAATCAACGTGTTTCTGTAGACTGTTTTATCAAGTGTTTTATATTACTAAAGCACAACAGCAGCTTGTTTACATTCATTGGATATAATCAGGGCCGGAGTGGGACTCCTTTTCAGCCCTGGAGTTTCAAGCCTTTGACCGGCCCACCTCAGTTCACAACTGACTATATTAAAATAAGGTCATTTCCAATTCAGTTTCTAATTACACTATTAAGTCTTTTTAAAGAAAACAGCTGCTTTAGAACTTCAAATGTTCAACAACCTTACAGTTTTATATGTCTTAACAATAAAAATGAAAAAAAAGAGACAATAAATAAGAAGAGCGGAGCTGCGGTAAAATAATGGATAAAAACAGTGAGGCTATGGTCAAATAATTAAATAAATGAAAAAAGTGCGACTGCTGCTTTATCCGTTCGCCATGCTGGAGAGAAACAGTCTGCGCAAATGAAGCGCAGAGTTGGTGTCATTGACTACAGCTCTCATCTGATTGGCTGAAAGGAACAAGTTACCCTGCCTCTGGCAGGAAAGTCTCAATAATACACACACACGTATCCAGGGGGAGTCGTACGTGAAAGAGGATTTGCACATTCTCATTCAGGATAAACTCGCAAGTTTTAAACATTCAAAACTTTTTGTACACTCTTATACATTTGCAAATGGTGTTTTGCATGTGTGAAACGTATTTTATGAAAATGTATTTTTATTTTGAGCACGCGAAAATTTTTTGTGAATATAAATAAATATTTTACGCACGTGAATTTGATTTTATGCACGTGAATTTGGCTACGCATGTGTACATCGTGTCTTTTGCATGAATTTCTTTTGAGACTAAACTGATTCCATAGTAACTAAATCAAATACCAATAACTAGGGATGTAACAATTAACGGTGAGTGGGTTGAAAATCTATTAAAATACGTGATGATTCAAACTGGTTGATATATTGATATATAGTTTTTTAACAGAGGGGGCGCTGTGTTTACAGGCGCAAGTGTGGTTTACTTGCACATCAGGGCGAGCAAGAGGTGGGGCGGCAGAGCAAAATGACAGAGATAAAGTGCGCCAGAGAAAACAACTACTGTCTGCAAATTCTGCAAAAAGATGTTTATTTACACTAACAGAACAAGGAATATGATGCAAATAAATCGTCAACTCAGTGAAAAACTACTGTCACAGACATCTATACGCAATAAAAAAAAAAACTATTAATAAGCCAAACCACGAATATCAGATGATTTGTAGCTCCGACGAGTGCTATGGAGATCCTACGGTGCATCAGTGTTTTCATATCAAAAGTGTGAGGATGTTTTTAAGAATGAAAGACAAAGTTGTTCTGTTACAGAAGATTATTGGATTATTTTACCCTTATCTTTTATAATTAGTTTATGCATATTTTAATAATTGGCTTATTATTATTGAATATTTAAAAGTGTTCAATATCATCTCTTCTTAAGTGTATCACACTGAGACTTAATTATAAAAGTAATATTAATTATTCACCTCTATAATCATGTTCAACCCGTCTCTATTCTACTTTATAATTAGTAATTTATTAATCAGTATTTTATGCCAGTGGCCAGTTGCTTGTAGCAAAGGGGGCTTTTGACCACCTCTGAACACACTGCTCTCTGGTTTAGGAAAGGCTTTCCTCTCCACACCAGTCATCTCAGTCCCCAGTGAAAGAGTTTTTTCATCAGCAGGGGACATTGTAAATGTGCAAAGACCTCAGCTTATGCTTATATATTTTTTTAAAAAATATGTCAAATCCCAGCAGTTACAGTTTTAGTTTGTTGAGTCCTCTTTAGTTTGTATAATTCTTTTTTTGGATTGTTTTTAAAATAGCAATTTAGTTGAGGCAAAAAATATATATATATATTTTGCAAAAAAAAAAAAAAAGTGCAGCATTTAAGATAAAAATGAAAGGGTTCTTCACTTTTTATTTGTTTCGAATTATTTTTATTGTTAAAAAATCATGACTGAATCATGAATTGTGAGATTAGTATTGTGAATCGTATCGAATCATGAGTCAGGTGAATGGTTACATCCCTACCAATAACCAAATACCAACCCAGTGCAAATCAGGCAAATATGACAAATAATTTAAAAAAAAGTAGCACAAGCAGAGATTTAAATAAGTCAAAAAATTATCTATAAGCGAATAAAAACGAGTAGGCAAAAATAAAAAGTGTAAGTGAAAAGACTAATGAGATTGCTATCTGCTATGAATTGAAAGGGACAGCTAAAAAATGCATTAGCTGAAACTGGATCTAAAAAGTCAAAAACAATCAGAATGAGAGGATGACAGAACTGGTTGCAACACAGGTGGGTAAACCAGGGACAGCAGTATTTTTGACAAACAGTGAAGGGAGCCTGAAATCCTCCTGCAGTCAGGCTGCGAGAGGGACGGAGATTAGTAAAAATACCATGCAAATGCAAAGCAAAAGAATACAAATGATCAACACATGCGATCATGTAAAGTACACACAAAGATAGATACACCAAAGTATTTTCTATTTTATGTTTTTTGTTCATTAAATTTACCTGGAAGCCTGGCTCTGCCACAACCCCCTGTCCTCCACCCAATAATAAATAAATAAAAACAATAAAGCATGCTTAACAAATAGCGTGTTTTTCCTTCATGTTCATGTGTTGTAGAAAATTTTGTTATAATTTTTAAACTATTAAGATGGTTTTATTTCATTTGTTTTCTAGTAGGTTAATTTACAAACGTGCACAATGATTTAATTTCCACCACATCTCTAACATGTATTGCAGAGAAAGTTGGGCGCGCTGTATGCACTGAAATTAATAGTACCTGGATGCAGCCCTTATAATGCAAGCTGAGATTGCCTCACAACATAATGCAGTCAATGGCGCGCGTGAGGTCACTGTGGGGTAGGGTTAGGGGTGGAGTTAGGTGAGCCCATTAAAATACATTGGATGCAGCACAGATAGCATTGCACCTGGTCTGCATTTAGACCCCTCTCACTGAAATGGATTGGGAATCATGGTTGGTTGTCGAAGGGAGTTTTGTACATACTTGGCCCTGGTGGCTATGGCAGAAGGTATAGAGTTCATGTTATATCTCCTGCATTTCCTCTCAGTTTGTCCATTGATTTGTGAATGATACCCAAAGAAGAGGATAACAGTTAGACCCATGTGTACAAAGAAGGATTTTCATACGCTAAAGATCAATTGGAATCGTCTATTTGGTACAATACCTTCTGAAAGAACATAGTTGCAGAACATACAGTAAGGTTAAAGAATATCTGTGCAGCTTACATTGCTGTGGGCAGCACTTATAGAGGAATCAATTGACAAGTCTTTGAGAATCTGTCAACTGACACAGATACAAGTATATCTATCTGAAGCAGGTAAGTCAGTGACCAAATCTATGGCAAGTGGGAAGAGGAAAAAGCATAGGGCTATAGCCAACTCCTTGATTCCTCTCGGATGCCCTTCCAGGCCACCACAAGCAATCTTTCAGCAAGGAAATGGTGAAATATGTCCCAAGATGATTAGTGCCCAGGAAAGTATGTACTGTCCGGTTGAGATTAGCTTGATGGGAATGTGGAATGCAAGAATGATTTGGTGGACACACCAGTGGAGGAGGACCAAAGACACTGGCATTTACAGTCTAAAACTACTGATGGGTCTCACAAATAATGCTTGGAGGTAAGATGGCTTCAGGTTTCTCTGGCATATCTTTGGGAGCATAAAGATTAGAGAACCTTTATATTCTTGGCCTTAGGATGATAGGAGATGTTATAATTAATCTTACAGTATAAAGAACAGGCCCATCTAGATTATCTTTGGTTCAGCTTCTTGGCTTGTCACAGATATTACAGATTGTGATAAAAATTATTACAGATGACCAAAGAGCAATGAGCCCCTACTAGCCAGTGTATCCAAACTTCTAGTGCTAGATTGATGGCAAGTAGGTTCCCCAATGCCATTATTTTGCTCTCCCAATGATAACTTCTAAAAATGCACATAGATGGAGTTGTGGATGTTTTCCCTGCTGCTGTGACAGAATGGCTCTAACTCCAGATGTGGAAACATCTACTTCAGCAATGAATTATCTCTAGGAATAGTGCTGAACTAGAAGAGCTCCTGATGTGATAGTGTCTTAGAAAGTTGTCATGGCAGAGGTTGCTTCAGGAGTCAAGCTCAGAGGCTCAGACTTGTTTTTGAGAAGATTTGTCAGTGGAGATGTGATGCAAACTACTGATCATAGCACAAACCCATTGTTACATGCCTGGGGGTGTTGCTCTGTTGTTCCCTCCTCCCCTTTCTGTTTCTATTTGCTGTCTCCTGTACTTCTAAAATCTAGGTGTTCTGATTGGTTGGCAGAGTTCTCCCGAGTGGACCAATCAGAAGAGGATGGGTGTTATTTAAACGCTCCAGTGATGACTCAGCCCAGATGAGAGGGGGATTCATGTTGCTTGTTGCTGCTGTGGTTTTGTAACTTTTGGTGCCTATCTTGTGTTCGGGTTCGCTTTAAAGAGAGTTTTTGTGATTTAAAAATACCTAGAGGGAAGTGAAGGGAAGTAGTGATGGTGAAATAAAGCTTTCTGAACCAGTGAAGCGCTCGACTTAATTGTATCAGAAAAAGGTTCGTTACTCGAAGCTTTCTAAATCAGAGCTCGATGAGAACCTCTTCTGGTGAAAGTGTGGGAAAGCACTGTGTTGCCATAATGTCAAATGTTCACAACTGACCAACTCATTCATGTAGTAATACAACAGCAATATAAACAAATTACTCAATTACTGTAGTTTTTACACAAGATATATTACATTACACAACTGATGACTAGTAAAATCCAAGGTATTCAAAAGTTTATCATAATACAATTAGTCCCACTCCAAGCAGGGATCGAACCAGCGATACCTGATTGAGAGGCGAGTGCTCTAGGAGGACGCTATGTGAACGATGCTCCAGGGTAGCATTCACCAGTTGGTCTCTGTTAAACACAATACTACGATATGCAGTGGTTTTCTTTAAAGATGGTCATAAAAAATACGCTAATACACTTTAGTATTGTTCAAAACCTTTTTACTAAAAAATACTATTGTAGTTTAGTTTAATTACTGGTGTGCGGGACTGGTGCAGTGCTTTGAAACAAATGTATGTAATAGACGCCAATTCTCTCGCTATACACTTTACTATGAGGGTGTTTAAACCTTTGAATCAAAATTCGAAGCAGTCACGTGGGTAAAGGCGAAAATGAAGCTTCGGACGTCACTGATCACGTGATGATGGCAAAACGAATCAAGCTCCGGTACACTGCTTCACTGCGAAATGTATCGTTTTTTTGATACATGCTTCGAAGCCTCGGCGCACAACGTCACATCACTAAAGGGAAGTATGTCACGTGACTTACATTTTACACACACGTAGCAGATCTTTTTGTTATTCCACTAGGTTAGAGGCGGGTGCTACCATATGTATGTTTGTTCCAGTCAGTGCAGTTGAGTAAGGGGCGTGTGACGCTGAAGATGTTTTTTTTGTTATTTACATATTTCTCTTTAGTTATTTAGAGGTGGGGGAGGGATTAGTTAGCGGGTGTTTAATTTGTTATTTTCTTTGATTTGACACCACTTATTCTCCTTCCCTCCATCAGGTATTTTTGTTTACTTTTTGCATTTATTGTACATATTTGTAAATATACTTTGGGTGATTTTAAATATTCACTTCTTTATCTTTATTGTAATAAAGCGAACCAGTTGCCACGTCGTTGTCTGTGTTGATTCATAACAGTTAACATCTCAGAGGAATTCTTAAAATATTGGGTTGTCATAATTATGTTAAGCCCTTTTTCATCCTCCGAGCCACATGGGGCGTAACACCCATGGTCTAAGAGGTGGTAATTTTAAGACCTCATTTCGGGCAGAAAACATCAATGAAGGTGGCATATTCCTTAGGAATGCAGAGGCAGTTTTTTTTTTTCAGGGGACTTTCTATGGATGTGGGGTTGACTGAATGTAATAAAGGAGTTTGGGAAGAGCAGGGAAACCGTAAAGAAACCAGTCCTGGCCTCACTTCAAGTGTTTGTGAGAAACAAGCACCATACAATAATCCCCTAACACTATTCCAGCATTGAAATACAGGAATAAATAAGTAATTTACAAAATACTGACATTTAAAGGTTTACACTCTAGTTTACACTCTAATTAAATATTATTATGATGAATTACCATGTTTTATTATTCCATTTTGGTCTGTGACTGGTATAAAATTATTTATGCTTTGAACATATTTGAATAGAAACAACGAAATAATGATGAGGGCATGGGCTGTATTCTACTTTATTCTGTATTCTGTATGGATGTTGTTCTTTCTCAAACCAGTGAGCCTCACTTCAGCAACTTAAACATACAGTTGAACTTGGTGAGGCTAGTGCTTTTAAAATTGCTTCACTAGGGGACAGATGTGAAACCATTGAAAAGCCCAGAAAGAAAATGTTTTACTCACCTGGCGTGAGGTAGAGTTAAGGGTGTACAAGGCGATAGGGGGTTTGGTGGTGGAGGGGCTCAGGCTGAAGCGCTGACCTGTGTCAGGGGTAGATGAGAGTGAGCGGGAGCATCGTTCCTCCACTTGCTCAACATGACTGCATGTCTCCATAGCAAAGACCGGTGGAACTGGACTCTGTGTTGGGGTGGTGGGAGGACTTGAAAGCCCAGAACCTGTGACAATGATCAATATGGAGGACAATGAAGTACTGAATTTGTAAAATGGATTTTGTTCATAGAATATTAATTCTAATGGTAAACAGTTGACAAATAGTACTGCTGTTAGACAACAAAATGTACTTTTGAGGGTTTTTTAGTTGAGAATGTAGTTGTTTAGATTGCAACTATACAGTTTATTTGTAAGAACAGTGCCTATTTTAAAATATTTACAATTTCTGAGAGAGCTCATCGACGACCGTTAGCCTGCCATAGTGTAGACCAAAAATGGTTGACATTTTCTATCCATAAGATGGCGGCAGAACTGCAAAATAAGCTCTAACGCTTTAAAGCTTTAAACAGTCTGATTTCTAACTACAGCAGATCAAATCATTATTAAACTGGTAAGCATACCTGCCAACAGTTTTTCCTGTTGGTATATCGTATTTCAGACCAACCACTCGCAGCCATTCTGTTTTTTATTTTTTCTGGAAAACACCTGTAGTTTCACCCACCCCTCTTTGGTACAGTCTGCAAACACCCCCAGGTTGCCAACTTTGGTACAGTACATCCTATCCCGGTTCTCAACAGTATTATAGTGTATATGCTGAGCTAGTGTTGTTCTGATACTGATAAACTTCAGGTGACCTGTAATTGTGAGTTTTTTTTCCTGCTTTATACGATTCATTTTACAGCATTGATGTTGTAATGTAATTAAAATACAATCAGTTCAATAGACTTTGACATTCATTTAGTTGCTCAAGCGTAAAACGACAAAAAGTCGTTCACTCGCACACGCCTTTCAGAATCAGCAGGCTAGTGCAGAAGCTCCATTAAATATACTGTGGTAAAATAAATGCTCATATTATAAAGACATGGCGGGGAAAAATGTAATGTAAATGCTCGCAATATCAGGAATGTGTGTTGTGTTGGCAGACAGAAAGAAGCAAATCTGCATGTGTTTAGTGTTTTTCCTTACCGCAAACACAACAGCAGTCTGGTAGTAAATGCGTTGCTTTTTCCGGAGTTTAACTATTGTGAATGATATCCCGATTGCAGCAGAGAATTACTGCAGACTGTAACACTGTAAGAAGATATCTCTGTAAATGGATGGCATTTCATTTCACGTTCAGCTTTATAATCTTAAAGGGCACCTATGGTAAAAAATCTACTTTTAAAGATGTTTGGACATACATGTGTGTAAGTATAGTGTATATACTGTCATATTGGGGTAAAATAAACACACCCAGTCCTTTTTTTTTAATTTAACAACATAAAAACAGTGGACCAATTAGAGCGGTTTTCAGATCGATCGCAACTAGACGTAGGAGTGCGGTCCCCCCACCCACCAATATTGATTGACAGCTGGGCGCATTAACATGTCGCCGTAGTAATGCATGTAATCTTATAGCCAAGACAGGAAGAGCGGAAAGCAACCGGGAATAAAAGGTCTGTTCAGTTTGCTAGGAGCATCAATCATCATCAGACGTGATCAAGAGTGAGTTTTACAAGTTTAACATGTTTTAAAACGTATTCAGATTCACTTCATCAGCACAGCCGCATGTCTCTCTCACTGTCTCTGTGTGTATGTGTGTGTGTGTGTGTGTGTGTGTCTGCGCTATGTATGTCTGTGTGTCTGCGTGTCTATGCTATGTATGTGTGTGTTTGTCTGCGCTACGTGTCTGTGCTATGCGTGTGTGTGTCTGTGTGTCTGCGCTGTGTGTGCATGAACTCATTGTTGCAACTCCACAAAAAATTGCATCAAATACTGATTGGTAAAGTTCTTACTGTAGTATTTCTCACATACGTTACGCAAGATCTGCTTCCTGAGGCAGCCGAGGGCGGCAATTGAGGCATGTTGCTGACTGGCATGTGGGAACGGTGGGCGGGGATGACTAGCCTTAAAGGCCCAGTGCAGAAAAACAGCAACAACCTTTTCCCAGCTATAATACAAACACTTCAAACAGCTATAATAAATACTCTGATGGGTGTTTTGACCTGAAACTTTACAGAAACATTCTGGGGACACAAAAGACTTATAATAAATATGAAAAAAGGGGTAACCTATGTGCTCTTTAAAGTGTGAGCAAAATCAGCTGCTTTGTCATTACTTTAGACATTACGCTATAGAGAGTCATTCAAACACTAGCTCAAAGCTGACGCTGGTAAATTAGTAATGGCTTCTTGTTTTTTGACGTCAGCTGCAGATGTAAATGAATAGCAGAATGAAGTTGTTCCTAATAAAATCGGTTTTTAGACTCTCCGTTATATATATATATATATATATACACTGTTAAAAATTGTCCCGTTAAAAAACAGTAAAATACTGGCAGCTGCAGTTGCCAGCAATGTACTGTTATTTTACAGTATATTGCTGTAAAAATACATGAACTACATTGAGTTACTCAATACTCAAGGGAACTCATTTTGTTCACTGAAAGCAACTGCCTCAACTTGGTCAACTGCTGAATGAGTTTATGAAGTAATGTGCTATACATGCTTAGAAGCATACTTATAATGATAACTTATTTTAGTTAATTAGAAAAGTTCGGTTTAACTCTAATGTCTTATTTTTCACAACAGCACACATACATGTAAATCTGGAATCACCAGAGAGATTCTGACTGCATCAGCAACTAAACAGCCGCTATCTTTAAATAGAGAAACATGCAGAATAACATCAGCAGTTCATTGTTCATCTTTAACTCATACACTAGCTCTACTCTCCTCCACAACGGTGACAGACAGAAGAAATTAGCTTCAGGTTTTACAGTAAAATACTGTTTTTTCCTTGATTTAACAGTAATCTACTGGCAGCTGTGGTTGCCAGCAATCTACTGTTTTTTTACAGTCTATTTCCGTTGTGTAAATTAACAGTATATTACTGTTAAAATACATTTTTACACTGTGTTTTTACCTCTCACACCTTTAACCCTTTAAACCCCAGAGCATATACTTCAGTTTTAATTGAAGTGTCCACACTACTGAGTGTTCAAGAAACATGTAGCAAAGCTGAAGTAAATTCATTAATTAACTCACTAATTAAATGATAATTGAGGATTAACAATGAACAAATGAAGAAATACTGAAGGGAAAAAACAAGAACAGAACATACAAAACTTTAGTCACAGCTTTATAATGAAATAACCTGAAGATTAACAAATGATTATATCATTTAAATGATCAGCGGATGATTAAACAACTCTACAAACATCATCACCAGCTACACTTATTACTTAATACATGTATTTTTGTATAACATCTACTAAAGTTCTTCTTAAGAAAAAGTTAAAGTTTTACGTCACCATCATGGAGAACAGAGTTTGCTTTAGTTGGGCTCTTAGCCCTGTCATTTTTAACATTTATATATTTTGGCTGCTGCAATTGTTAAGAACTTTGTTTAAAAAGCTCATTTGTTGTGGCAAGCCAGCCAAAAACCTAAATAAGATCTGGTGATGTTCATGTCGCTATCAAATGGCAGAGTCTGTTCTCATTTAGTGTAATAAAAGTTACGGCTCCTATTCAATGTTAAATCTATTGTTTTACATTATATGTCTATATAAAGCAATGATTTCTGGAAGTTTTTAAGAATATCTTGGACAATAACACTGCTCTATGGTGTAAATCGCACTCAAAGAGACATCAATAATCAGCATATGAACCTCAATAATGGTGACAACTAACAAAATTAACAGTTTAACTCACAAACAGGCAACTGAAAGTCTAAACATAAACAACAGCAGAATCAAACACAAATAAAAAAACTGTAAGACCATTATACAACATTTATTTATACCGCAATGCATGCTGGGATATTTGTATTGTGCCACTCCCAGCATGCATTGCAGCATGAAACATTTGAGATGTTACCATTGTTGAGATACAAGGTCAGATTCATAAGGTCTGAGTGTGTATTTGTCATAACTGAACTGTTTTTGTATGTTATTTCTTAACAGTTAAGTAATTACAGAGGTATTTTTTTCTGTTTCCACTTCTCATTAATTAAATTAATACCTGCAACTAAGCATAAAATCTATTGCATGAGGCCCTTCTTCCAGATTTATACCAAAACATTTATCAGAACTAATTTCAGACAAATCGATTTCTCTATTTATTGACTTTCCAACTCGATTGCTATAATACAAGCATTTTGTTAAATCTTTATTATAGTAATTGGAGAGTCTGAATTAATAAGTTCAAGGGTGAAGAGCCCAACTAAACCAGCCCCTCGCTCCATTACGGTGACACAAAAAACACCTTAATTTCTGTTGGATCTCAATGAGAATAGTATGGAAGTCAAATCAGTCAGTAATAAGTGTGTCTGCTGTTGTTTGTGGAGTTGTTTAATGATCCTCTGCTGAGACTGAAGCTGTTTTATTTTATTTGATTTTATTTAATGTTGTAACTCAAGTCACTGTGTTTCTTGTTTATTTTCTTCAGTAATTGTAATTATTAACAGCAGGTGTTCATCAGTGTCTGAATTCACTCATTAGTGTTCATTAAAACTGTCAGGTGAACTATATTAGTTAACTAGTGTATGAAATAGTGAACAAGGACACAAAGCGTGATTTCAAACACAGACTTCAAAACATCGAATCTGAACTCTGTTAGCTCAGTTTTCTGCAGTTGGTTACTTTCTCGAAAACAAAAATGTTACCCAGAAAGCAAAGTTTTTAACAGAATATTACTGTTTTAGTGAAAAAACATTATTTTACCGTAGAATCTGACCGTTTTTTAACAGCAATTTTTTACAGTGTATGTTACAAATGAGGTTGACTCCAAAAACTTAACTTGGACCAGGGGGGAATCAACAATTTTTATTTTATTTTAGGGTAATCAGCCCACAATGAGGGAACAATAATATATATAGAAAAGCAAAAAAATTAAAGGATATGAATGACAACTATGACTTTGACCTTATCCAGGTCTTCTGTTCACAACACACCTTATAATGCTCACAAGTGTGTACACACAAGCAAGTTTTCCCCCACTCCTTGTGGGATTTTCCCTTAATAAAA